CTAAAAAAGAAATAGGAAGAAGAAGAGCCATTGATATGCACATGAAATGTAGAAATCAGGAAATTGATTAAAACTGTGTTTGCTCAGTGTTCAAAATCATCTTTTGTTCTCCATTAGTCAAACATTACACTGGTCGTCAGTCATAAAACGGAGATAATCTTGCACAATAAAAGGGACTCACAAGGGCACGTTTACAATTTCAGTGTTGAAAAGAGGAAGCTGAACTGAGACTAAACGTGCTCAGTGATACAATGTATGTTATGCATTGTAGCTTTTACAACAGAACACGATGCACTATACCATGCCAGTTATTATTCTATAGCTTTTATTGTGATCGAAACATTGCCAATCACAGTATAAAAAATACTTATGTTTTTCTAATCGGTTTTAATGTAATAAATGATGATGACGCCGGCACGCATGCGCACAAGACTAGTGCGCGCTGGCGGTCCAAGAAAAAAAACTCCGTATAGAAAAGCTCTGTGATTGGACAGAACCTACGTTTCAAACCAAGACGTAGCTCGCTGATTGGTTATTACGCTGGAGCGTACCGCGCTAACGCCGAAGTGGGCATCATTGTGTTTTCCCTCCGTTTCGTGCGAAAAGAGAAGAAGCTCATCTGGCGATATGGTAAAGCAAGTTTTTATTGTCTAATTTCTAAAATATAACCTAGCTCGGACGGTTGTGTTTTGTGTAAATTGTAATGGTGCCGTGTTAAAATTTTGTACACGTGATGGCTTTTAATAAGCTCGCGGTGTTTGTGGGTTTGCAGTGTTTTGGTAAAAGAGCGCCGACCATGGATTAAAGTGAATTTGGTGCATTATTTTGCAAAACGCATCAAAGAGCCAGAAAATGCATGCGTGCATTTAATAATTGGGATGCAGGGTTGGTGGAATATGGCAGATTTTAAATGAATAAGAGTAGAGTTATCGTAATGTTTATAAATAAGAGCCAAACTCTCATCGAAGCAGTTTGCTTATGTTGTTCGGACACGCTAAAAAAAAAAAAAAAAATTAGCCTCAAGCTTGAATGTACTTTAGTTTGTTTGTACTTTTGTTTAAATACTAAAAATATAAAGGAATCTGAACATCAGTCATTTTTGGGCGTTTCTTTAATCTCACTCCATTATTCAAAATGAGCTACAAAAAAAAAAAAATCGAAGTGAACGTTACTGGAGTACGTTTTAATTAATTAATTTTTTATTTGTGAAATGTACTAGGAGTTTCAGAGTAAAAATTGATTTGATTTGATTTGAAGAAAAAAAAAAGATTAATTACACTGGCCACAACTTCGATGAGGCTTTTAAATAATAAGTCCTTTTCTTGTGCTTCTGCAGGCAGGAGGAAAAGCTGGAAAGGACAGTGGAAAAGCCAAGACAAAAGCAGTCTCCAGATCACAAAGAGCTGGTCTGCAGGTAACGTTACATATTCCTGCGCCAGATACGAAAAAATGAACTGCTGTTGAGTTTAACTGAGTGATATTGAGAGTTTGATTGGTTTTTATGTTTCAGTTCCCTGTAGGTCGTATCCACCGGCACCTGAAGACCCGAACTACCAGCCATGGTCGTGTTGGAGCTACAGCAGCGGTGTACAGCGCCGCTATCTTGGAGTACCTGACTGCTGAGGTAATGATTTTATTTTGGCACGGCTTGTTAAACAAGCCTGCCGGATGTCATAGTGGCAGATTGTTGGCTGGCTGTGATTTCTCTTACTGTGTGAATAGTCTCTTGCAAATGCAACCTTGTTCAAACCCATATTCGCAGGTTTTGGAGTTGGCTGGTAATGCCTCCAAAGATCTGAAGGTGAAGCGTATCACTCCAAGGCATTTACAGCTGGCCATCCGAGGTGATGAGGAGTTGGACTCACTTATCAAAGCTACTATTGCTGGCGGAGGTGAGTTTCTTTCAACTCCGGATTTTAAGAAAAAAAATGTAGTGCAGGGTGTTACAAAAACTAAACTTAGCTTTGATTCTGTAAAATGATATTTTTAGGGCTGATATTATTTTAATGGCGTGTCTTCGTGTCTTTCCCTACAGGTGTGATTCCGCACATCCACAAGTCACTGATTGGAAAGAAGGGCCAGCAGAAAACCGTATAAAATGCATTGATGTTCGATTCTATCTTTGTCTAGAAAACGGCAATCAGCATTGAGAGAGCAGTTGCTTTTGTTACGTTTCCCCATTTGTTTGGTTATGTTTGATAAGCGTAGTTTAACATAACAATGGTTAGAGTTTGACGTACTATATTCATGATAATTAACGGGGAGGGGGTGTTACATGTTGTGGGGTAAGGAAATGTAATCATGGTTTTTGTTTAGTTTGGTTAAGGAATGGGTTTTGTGAGGTTTGGGTTTCATTATTGGCTTTTTAAAATCTGTTTTATACATTAAAAGATGTTTTTTTTCCTAAATGTTTCGCCTTTTTGTGATTTTCATTATTCCCTAGAAACTCCTCATATTAGCTAATTGCTGCAGGAGATCTATTCAAATGAATCCTGATAGTCGTTCTTGGATCTGACATTAGAGATTGTGAATAAAATGTATAGAAAACATTTTCCTAGCTACATTTCCATTGTATATATCTTTTGAAATAAACAAGAGTAGCTAAAAAGTACAGAACTGTATAGATTTAAACGCTTGGGTAAAAGTATTTAAGGACATTTTTCAATGTTAACTGAAGCAGATGATTTTATGATGCTTTTGTGTTTGATTATAGTTGATAACTAAACATCTATTTAACAAATAGGTTTCTGTGGATCTTAAAAAGTCTTAATTTTCCCTTCCACAAATGAAGGCATCAAAAGATCTTAAATCAGAGCAGAAAGTCTTCAAAGAATTCATAGTCATGGCATTAAATATTGCATACACTGCAAAAAAAATGGAATATCTTTCTCAGTATTTTTTTCCAGTACTAATATCTAAACATCCATAGATCACATTACATTTACTTAAAGGGGTCATAGGATTCTTTGGGGTCTTAATGAAAAGTCTGTAACATAGTTTGGTTAAAATGTATCAATGGTAGTGTAAAAAACACCTTTTTTTTTACCCTGTCAAAAACAGCTCTTTTCAGATCAAGCCGTTTTTGTAGCATTTCCCTTTAAATGTTAATGAGCTCTGCTGACCCCGCCCCTCTCTTCCGAGCTGCTCTCAGAGAGACTATTTACTTTAGCCACATTCATCCTGAAACTTGCTAATTAGCACATTATTAGGAAAGGCGATTTGCAAAGATTCATTACAAAACATTACACTCACTTCTTCTGTAGGTGAAGCTGGATCAGGAATGATTCATGTAAACATAGACGCATTTATGTAGATCGGGGGTGCATTCCCTTCAGAAACAAATGTAATCCACTGCGAGTTCAGCGGCTCAGATGTCAGGAGTAAATGAGGACTGCTATGTTCATTATTACATCCAACAACAGAACACTTCAATCGCTTAGGAGTCATTCTTGTCTACATCTGCTCCGGTGGTGAAACAATGGCAGACTGATGACAGTCACTCAGGTAAGTCGGTCTAAGGTAAGCCGCCAGTCCAGTCTGTGCTGAAACGCTACTGTCAATCAAACTATCGTGGGAGGGGCCTGTCTGTGTGACGTCACACAGACAGGCATCTGAGATCGTCTCGATTTGAGAAAGGGGTAAACATTTAACCAGATTTTTAAAAAAGCACTAGGTGGATTTTTATCATTATAGGGTGGTTGTGTACACACACTGCCAACACACATTTCAGTTCAAACAACTTGTAAAAGTGCATGTAGCATCCTATGACCCTTTAAGATGTAAAACGAAGTCCTTTTTTTCATTTTTGAGAAACGGAACAGATTTAAGTGCTTACACTTAAAACAAGAACAAGTATCTGCCAACCGAGTATGAAAACTTGTTTTGAAATTCAATTAATTTTTCTGAACCTATTGGCAGAATATTTGTGCTTGTTTAAATCATAAACTCACTTTTTTATGAGATCACAATTTATCAGAAATGTATCAGTTATCAATTTATCAGATATCTTATATGATTTTGCATCTCAATTAAATGCATCTGGATTTAAGAATCTTTAGACATTTGCACTGGAAAACAAAAAAGTACTAATAAAGAACAGCATTTTTTTTCAATGTGATCAGAAGTTACAGTAAAAGTTATTTCTATATTCTAGTGGTTGGGAGCTGAGGTATTCGAGTTATATGCTATTTGTTTTCGTAAAATGCATGAAGAATTGGAGTTCTGTTTTAAGTTGTGTTTTCAAACTAAGTCTTACATTTACCTTCATAAAACCTGCAGAAACCCTGTAACTAAATGTTTCTGTACTAAACTACGTGCCACTCAATGTTCAAGTTAATGTGGCCATATATGTTTATTCTTTGTATTTTGACAGGCTAAGCAATAAATAATAGCGTGCTGATTAAAGGTGTTTAGTTTCAGTTCAGTATATTTGTTGGAGAAAAAAAAATTCCCCAAAATGATACTGGAGTGCACTGCTGTAGTGTTTTTAAATATTTTTGAAAAATCCAAGGCTACATCTATTTGATTAAAATAGTAATAATGTGCTGAATTTTCAGCATCATTCCTCCAGTCTTCAGTGTCACATGATCCTTCAGAAATCATTCTAATATACTGATTTGCTGCTCTAGAAACATGTATTATTATTATCAGTTTATTATTATCAGCATTTATTTGCAATAGAAATCTTGTATAGCATTATAGTCTTTTCTGTCACTTTTGGGCCATTAAAATATGAATTTCTTTCATAAAAATAAACTTGAACAAGCTCTTCACACTTCGGTGTAGTCAAATAGAAAATGATTTATTTATACACTCCTCTTGTACACATAGACATGAACGAAATAGAACTTTACAATCATATTTAAATAATAATTCATCAAAACGAAAAGAAAAAAAAAGATCACATTTGTTATTGCACTTCACCCTGTATTCACAAATGCAACGATGTAAACCAAGCTGAACGCCTTGACTAACAGTCAGAAATGAATGTTTTGCTGTCGGTCTCTCGTCTCACTGTGTGCTGTAGTACTGCGAGTGATAGGGCTGGTATGGACTCATCATGGAAGGGTTGATGCTCTGTAGGGTGCTGTACTGATACAGGGCCTCCACAGGCAGGGACGGCAGGCCTCCGGCTGTAGCAGGGCTGTAGTGGAATCCCGGGCCGTAAGGTGCCAGGCTCTCTTGGTAGTAGCTGGGATACGAAGCGGCACGGAAACTGTGCCGATCGGAGTAATGCATCATATGCGAGGCTACCTTGGCCTGACAGGCGTGAGCCAGACTGTCCTGAACGGTCCGTTTCAGCTTCATGCGTCGGTTCTGGAACCAGTTTCTGATCTGATGGAGAGAAACATAAGATAAGTTCCCATTTAATCAGTGTTGGGGAAAGTTACTTTTAAAAGTAATGCATTACTATATTGCGTTACTCCATTAAAAAAGTAACTAATTACGTTACTTAGTTACTTTTTATGGAAAGTAATGCGTTAGGTTACTTTTGCGTTACTTTTTAAATCTGGACAGGGCTTGCTTGTTTGTTTTTAAAATAAAAAAGTAATATTTTTGGCAAATATAAAAGCCTTTTCACACCAAAAGTGAAATGAATAAGCCTCAGGCTGAAGGGAAAGTACATGTACGTCCGTACAGTAGAATGCAGAAGAAGAAATATCAACACACTTCAGCAATAAAAAAAGACACACAAATGTTTGTCGAGAGTAATTTGTGCTTATTATTATGGTTGAACAGGATCATCGAAGGTCAGAAGCAAAGACATTGGTTAATAGAATGGGATTAAATACATAAATTATATTTGTGTTGTTTAACATTTAATTATTGCAGGTTTGCGTCATATTCTGAGTTGCATTATTTGTATTCATTTTGAGGAATACTGAATCTCTGTTTTTTGTTTTTTTGTGAGTGAGATGAATTAATGCATATTCATATTTATTTTAGAACTACAGTAACATCTTCTGATTTCTCTCAGCATGGGGACACCAGAGCTGTCAATCAATAAATTAGAAACAAAAGTAACTTGCGTTACTTATTTGAAAAAGTAACTCAGATATTCTCTCGTAAATTAAAAAGTAATGCGTTACTTTACTAGTTACTTGAAAAAAAGTAATCTGATTACGTAACTCGCGTTACTTGTAATGCGTTACCCCCAACACTGCATTTAATACATAAAAGTCGAATCACTCTTTTTGCGCCTTTGAAGCCCCCTACAGTTAAGAGAGTGTAATAACAGCGGATAGCTGTAGGCGCGCATTTGTTTCTGTCGTAAAGCAATCCGCACTTTTCGCGAAATTTCGTACCCGCTTACTAAACTTACATACTCCCCCAGTACAGACGTTATATTAAGTCAGTGTACCATCAGAATGCAGCTGATATTTAATGGTAGCTATGGGAGAATCGAACCCATTTTAATGTTTGCATCAACTGAATTGTTTCGAATCTCTCGAAACGCAACACGTTAGAGATGCCTGCTGGTCAAAACTGTGTAAATGCAACAAAAACTCAGGCCAAACACCTTCTACCAAGTGTTTTTTTCAAAGTATAATATAAGAAATGGTATTAACAAATCATCATATATCATTTAATATAAATAGTGTCCGTGTAACATGTTCGTTTATTAATTGTTTTGTTGGTTTTATGGAGGGCTCGGCTAAACAGGCCAATACGAGACGTTTAACTACTGCTCTTCATTTTTATTATACAAAAATTTGATTTTTTAGAAACCGTTATGACGTAACGAAGCTCCATTCACTGAAATCACGTGACTCCGAATCACTGGTTCGAATCAAATGATTCATAAAGGTTTCGAAGCTTCACGAAGCTGTGCTTTGAAAGCACTCATCGAGTCATTTCAAGGTAAAGAAAAACAAAAACTAGCACACAGTCCCTTTAAATCACATTATTAAAATCAGAGTAATAATAATAACAATGAATCGACCTTGTACCTGTTTATCAGACAGATTTAGTCTTTTGCAGAGCTCAGCTTTGTCCTGGGCTCCCAGATAAGCGTTCCTCTTGAAGGCTCTCTCGAGACTGTTGATTTGTTCGGTGGTGAAGGCCGTTCGGGGTCTGCGGCCGGTAGAGGGAGATACTGATGGCGCCGGTTCTTTAGGGGCCCCAGGTGAGAGAGAGCGGCCGCCCTCGCTCTCGTACCCTGATGTCTCCTCCTCCTCCGTGCTGCTGCTGAAACCTGGCTCTGAGGCGATCAGGAAACAAATAGATATTCAAATATGAAGCCAGTAAACAAAAATAAATACATACATAAACACAAGGGAGCAAGAGAAAATAAACATTTTGTAAATTTGCATTTAAATGGAAAATGTTCAATTGAAAATAAATAAATGTAGGGAAAATACGACAAAAGTAAATCAAAGCAGATCCCACGCAAACTGTACATTTGCTAGCATTACATTTTAAAATGGGATCCTAATACAAACTAAATGAAATGGATTTATACTTAAAATAATTATGTTGTTGTTTTAATATAAGTATTTTAGTGTTATTTATTATTTTAACAGTATTTTAATAGTACTTTTAACTATAGTTATGTTCAAAAATATTTATTTTTTATTATTTAGACACATTTTTACTACTAATCCAATAAAAGTAACAACAGGTGCATATTTGACATTAAATGATTTAAAATGTAAAATAATAACCTATCTATTTGAATATATTTTAAAATGTATTTTTTTCCTGTGTTGGCGGTTTATAGTTTTACTTTTAACTGTTAAAGTCATTGATACTATATACTTTACTGTTAAATAAACAAAACCAAAAAAAATAACAGTAGGATTTTTATATCTGTATTTTACATGAAATCATTATTTTAAATCTTTTATAACTGTTTTCTGTTTTTAATACTTTTTTATATTTTTTATTCCAGTGTTGGCAAAGCTTCACTTCTGTACTTTACCTTTATTGTTACTGTGTTAAAGAACTATTTATACTATTTTTCTGGTAATTAAATTAAAAACTAAATAAAATAGATAAGTATTTTACATTAAAGATTACTCAACAATATTAACATGGATTATGAGAACAGTTTTTTACCGTGAGTGTGTTGCTGGACGATATTGTTGTCACTGGACTCGGTCTCTTGCGTAGATGTACACAACAAACTGTTTCCCGGTTGTGCTGGCTCCATACGTTTCTCCCGATTCTCCATGTTTTCCGGTCTCCATCTGCTGTAGAAGCCAGGAAGGCTCTCAGATGCAGTGCCAGAGGTGCTCGGGACGTCCTGGCCGGGAGAGACCCAAGAGCTTGAGGGAAGGGTTGATACCGAAGCCTGGCTGCTTTGAGAAAGCCACTCGATGGAAAAATGCCCCTTCATCTCAGAGAACCAACTGTGTCCAAATCCAGCAAAGAAAGGCAGATATCCGGTATAACACAAGGCAGTTGTGAGTTTCCAGCAGAAGTCCTGTGACTGAGTGAGTCAGATGTGTGTTTGTGTTCTGATAAGCGTGGCTTTGGGTTCACTGGTCAACACCTCCAGCATGGGGCTCAAGTATTTATAGGGCTAATCCCAGCTCATTTACAATTCACTTCGCCCCGGATCAAAGGAAGCGTCCTGATCTCCACCCCTTCAGTTTTCACAAGTGTGGTAATGAAGACGTCTCAATCGGCCTTGAGTGAACCCATTAACTCCTGGCACCAGTAAGTCTGGAGATGTAATCCCCTCCCTAAACCATCTCTGATCCTGTCTCCTCTCTGAGGTGTGCATGTGTGTGTGATTTCATATGTCCACATTAGAAGAGCGATGGAGGAAGTTCAAGGTTAATCACAGTGGCTTGGAATTCATAATCAACAGCAATATTTGGTAATCCCAAAAGGTACATAGTTTTAGTTATTTGACTAAAATGTTACCGCATAAAGTCCACAGAGCTAAATCCACTTTAAAACATTCTTTCTTTCTTTTTGCAGAATAAAAAAATTAAGATTTCAATCTTTTTTATAGTCCTTTTATCATCAAATTTCTTTAGAACAGAAATGTTAATGTAAAACTACAACTTGAAAAATTATATCAATAATTCGTTTATGCACAATAAAATAAACCACATTTTAAAGTTCCTTATCAGAAGAACAGAATGCAAAACAACAACTTGGAAAAAGTATTTGTTTGTTTGTTTTGTTCGTTCATTCATTTATTTACAGTTCCAGCACTACAGAATTAAGCTCAAATATTTCATAGTGTAAAGAAAATGATTCAATCATTCATTCATTTCAGAACAATAAAATAAAGTTTTCAACATTTTTATAGTCTTTTATTATAATCTCTTTAGAACAGAAATGTCAACAACTTGAAAAATGACATCTAACTATTTAAAAAAAAAATTTATTTGTATTTCTTTAATAAGAGTCGGTTGCAGCACAACAAAATGAAGCTCAAACATTTCGTAGTGTCAAATAATAATAATAAAATAAAATAATAATTATCAATAATTTCCTTTTTTTATTATTATTTATTTATTCATTCATTCTGAGTTATTTTACTGATTCCAATACAGAAAATAAAACATAAATGTTTCATGGTCTTTTTTCATAGTGTCTTTAGAATAAAAAATACTGTTAAACTACTTTTTTTAAATGAAAAACCTTGTCAGTTTCTCTGATTCCAATAGAACAAAACTGCAGTTCTGTCCTTTTGTGAAAATGTCTCTCTCATAGACACTTAATGTTCCTGTGAGTGGCTGCAAACGTGGCTAATTCAGCTCTTGTTTATGCCCCTTTCAGCCGGTATTGGTATCAAAGCAGGCGGCTCTTTTAAAGTGGCAGGTAGAGGTTAATGGGCTGTTTTAGAAACACTACACGAGTATGGAGACAGTAGTCTGCAGAGACCCAACTACTGACAGAGATAACTGCTGGCCCTTGGATCTGCCCCCCCCACCCCGCCCTACCCCCCCAAACGGCATCATTACGCATAGCTGATCTGAGATTAACTTGATCAGTCCCACTATTGAAGAATACATGATTTCAAAGCCTGCCAGACACTTTTGATTATCAGACGAGCAAATAAAACAGCCTTAGATTGTCCCATTATTGTTTCTAAAGGATCTGAAGGGTTTGATCCCTTTTGGGTGCATTGAAGAAAAACAACAACAGAAAGACGGCGCCAAGGAAGGAGATTTACGCATACAGAGGTTCACTAGATTTATTAATATAAGTATTTTAGTGTTATTTATTATTTTAACAGTATTTTAATAGTACTTTTAACTATAGTTATGTTCAAAAATATTTATTTTTTATTATTTAGACACATTTTTACTACTAATCCAATAAAAGTAACAACAGGTGCATATTTGACATTAAATGATTTAAAATGTAAAATAATAACCTATCTATTTGAATATATTTTAAAATGTATTTTTTTCCTGTGTTGGCGGTTTATAGTTTTACTTTTAACTGTTAAAGTCATTGATACTATATACTTTACTGTTAAATAAACAAAACCAAAAAAAATAACAGTAGGATTTTTATATCTGTATTTTACATGAAATCATTATTTTAAATCTTTTATAACTGTTTTCTGTTTTTAATACTTTTTTATATTTTTTATTCCAGTGTTGGCAAAGCTTCACTTCTGTACTTTACCTTTATTGTTACTGTGTTAAAGAACTATTTATACTATTTTTCTGGTAATTAAATTAAAAACTAAATAAAATAGATAAGTATTTTACATTAAAGATTACTCAACAATATTAACATGGATTATGAGAACAGTTTTTTACCGTGAGTGTGTTGCTGGACGATATTGTTGTCACTGGACTCGGTCTCTTGCGTAGATGTACACAACAAACTGTTTCCCGGTTGTGCTGGCTCCATACGTTTCTCCCGATTCTCCATGTTTTCCGGTCTCCATCTGCTGTAGAAGCCAGGAAGGCTCTCAGATGCAGTGCCAGAGGTGCTCGGGACGTCCTGGCCGGGAGAGACCCAAGAGCTTGAGGGAAGGGTTGATACCGAAGCCTGGCTGCTTTGAGAAAGCCACTCGATGGAAAAATGCCCCTTCATCTCAGAGAACCAACTGTGTCCAAATCCAGCAAAGAAAGGCAGATATCCGGTATAACACAAGGCAGTTGTGAGTTTCCAGCAGAAGTCCTGTGACTGAGTGAGTCAGATGTGTGTTTGTGTTCTGATAAGCGTGGCTTTGGGTTCACTGGTCAACACCTCCAGCATGGGGCTCAAGTATTTATAGGGCTAATCCCAGCTCATTTACAATTCACTTCGCCCCGGATCAAAGGAAGCGTCCTGATCTCCACCCCTTCAGTTTTCACAAGTGTGGTAATGAAGACGTCTCAATCGGCCTTGAGTGAACCCATTAACTCCTGGCACCAGTAAGTCTGGAGATGTAATCCCCTCCCTAAACCATCTCTGATCCTGTCTCCTCTCTGAGGTGTGCATGTGTGTGTGATTTCATATGTCCACATTAGAAGAGCGATGGAGGAAGTTCAAGGTTAATCACAGTGGCTTGGAATTCATAATCAACAGCAATATTTGGTAATCCCAAAAGGTACATAGTTTTAGTTATTTGACTAAAATGTTACCGCATAAAGTCCACAGAGCTAAATCCACTTTAAAACATTCTTTCTTTCTTTTTGCAGAATAAAAAAATTAAGATTTCAATCTTTTTTATAGTCCTTTTATCATCAAATTTCTTTAGAACAGAAATGTTAATGTAAAACTACAACTTGAAAAATTATATCAATAATTCGTTTATGCACAATAAAATAAACCACATTTTAAAGTTCCTTATCAGAAGAACAGAATGCAAAACAACAACTTGGAAAAAGTATTTGTTTGTTTGTTTTGTTCGTTCATTCATTTATTTACAGTTCCAGCACTACAGAATTAAGCTCAAATATTTCATAGTGTAAAGAAAATGATTCAATCATTCATTCATTTCAGAACAATAAAATAAAGTTTTCAACATTTTTATAGTCTTTTATTATAATCTCTTTAGAACAGAAATGTCAACAACTTGCAAAAGGACATCCAAATAATTTTTTTAATTATTATTTCTTTAATACGAGTCAGTTGCAACACAACAAAATGAAGCCCAAACATTTCATAGTGTCAAATGAGAAAATTATTTCCTATATCTTTATATTTATTCATTCGTTCAGAGTTAGTTTTACTGATTCCAATACAAAAGATAAAAATGTTTCATGGTCTTTTTTTTCATAGTGTCTTTAGAATACAAATTATTGTTAACCTATATGTTTATTTATGAAAAACCAGTTTGTGTATTTGTTGTTAGTTTGCTTGTCAGTTTCTCTGATTCCAATAGAGCAAAACTGCAGTTGTTTCACTTTTTGTGAAAATGTCTCTCTCACAAACACAAGCGCTCTGTCTCTCTCATAGACACTTAATGTTCCTGTGAGTGGCTGCAAACGTGGCTAATTCAGCTCTTGTTTATGCCCCTTTCAGCCGGTATTGGTATCAAAGCAGGCGGCTCTTTTAAAGTGGCAGGTAGAGGTTAATGGGCTGTTTTAGAAACACTACACGAGTATGGAGACAGTAGTCTGCAGAGACCCAACTACTGACAGAGATAACTGCTGGCCCTTGGATCTGCCCCCCCCACCCCACCCTACCCCCCCAAACGGCATCATTACGCATAGCTGATCTGAGATTAACTTGATCAGTCCCACTATTGAAGAATACATGATTTCAAAGCCTGCCAGACACTTTTGATTATCACACGAGCAAATAAAACAGCCTCAGAATGTCCCATTATTGTTTCTAAAGGATCTGAAGGGTTTGATCCCTTTTGGGTGCATTGAAGAAAAACAACAACAGAAAGACGGCGCCAAGGAAGGAGATTTACGCATACAGAGGTTCACTAGATTTATCACCTGTAAACTAGATCCTGGCAAATGTGTTAAAGTAATCTTATTCGTTCATTTATTAATTCTATCTATCTATCTATCATTTATTTACATGTCATTTATTTACATGTTTGCTTTGTTGGATAGTTTTTTGATTACTTTTTTATTTGTTTAGTTCTTGGGTTGTTTGCTTATTTCTTTTTTTTCATGCACTCATTTTTTATGACAAAATAGAGTGTTTTTTGTTTGTTTGTTTTTGTTCATAGATTATTAAAAACCAATAATGTCTTTTAAACGTGAGCACACAACCATATTAAATATGAAGAATATAATCAAAAAGTCAATATTATGCATTGTGGTGTAATATTATTAAAATATTTATTTTCTAAAATTGTATATATATATATATGTATGTGTGTGTGTGTGTGTGTGTGTGTTTTGGATGTTCTCAAACACAGCCATTTTTTGTATTTTATACTGTAAAATGTATTTATTTTATTATTATGTATTTCTTTTATTGCACAAATTGAATGGAAGTAGCTCATTTTCAATCACTTTCAAAGCATTAATCATGGGGAAAAAAATGAAAGATTATATAATTTGTTAATTCATCTTCTCAAAC